GGGCCGCAGGGGGCTGTGACAGGGCCGCAGGTGGCGGCGACGGGGCCGCAGGTGGCGGCGACGGGGCCGCAGGTGACGGTGACGGGGCCGCAGGTGGCGGCGACGGGGCCGCAGGTGACGGCGACGGGGCCGCAGGTGGCGGCGACGGGGCCGCAGGTGGGCCGCAGAGGGGCCGCAAGGGGCCTAGACGGGGCCGCAGAGGGGGCCGCAAGGGGCCTAGACGGGGCCGAAGAGGGGCCGTAAGGGCAGCGCGAGGGGCCGTAAGGGGCCGTAAGGGCGGCGTGAGGGGCCGTAGAGGGCGGCGCTAGGGGCCGTAAGGGCGGCGTAAGGGGCCGTGAGAGGGGCCACTAAGGGCGGCGCGAAGGTAGGGAGGGCACACAGAGAGCGACTCGGGCAGGAGTGAAGCGCGCTCCGGGCAGGAAAAAAAATATATCGTGGTGGCCCCTAGGTAGCGTTCCCACTAGGGAACCTGCTCGATACCATGATAAGAAACGAGGAATGAATGCATTGAGTAGAATGAGGAGTACAAGTAGTAAACCCTAAAGTGTTGTACCCCATATGAACTGCCCCACTACAGCCTACACAGACTATAGCATATATGCCTGACACTTGCAGTCTCGCATTGACTCTCTACAAGGTGGATCCATTGCCATACTCGTTAAAAAACATCCCATTTCCGAAGTTATTATAAGTTACTTCAGTCTTTCCATCAGTCCGACTGACATGGCTGCTATCTTTGCAGTCTTGGGGTAGCTAAGAAGCGTCGTCGTATGTAAAACTACAGGGTTTAGGGACAGGCGTGGGGATCAGAATCGGGAACCTAAATTTCTTCCCATGTCCTTTCGATGCTTATGTTGCTTCATGTAGTGGAGAAGTTTTTTGCCCTCATGCGAGCTACAGCTACAGGAGCTTGAGTGCCATGTTTGGGCAGGTTACGGAACTTGAGAGCCTTATTAGGGCAGAATACAGAGCTTGGTGCTATATCAGGGCAGATTATGGAGCTTGAGAGCCGTATCAGGGCAGAAGTGCAATATCATGGCAGATTGCGGAGCTTGAGTGCTGTACCAAGTGCCATTCCAGGGCGAATGTGTTGAAGCAAATGCAGAGGTGTTGCTAATGAAATCAGGTCAATTACGACACCAGGCACATTCCAGATAGACATTAGCTATGAATCAAACCTTTGTGTGATGTGATTCGACCTGAAACGGTTTGGTTAGCAAAATTTGACGCGCTGGTTGGATGGGGACGATTCAGCTCATTCTCGAATCGCATTCCAGTGTGTATCACCTAGTGACAAACGGGAACTAAGAAATTTCATTGAAACCATTAAACCGAAAATATCTTCACTTCGTATTTGAGATCAAGATAATTTGAGTCATTTCTACAATAGTTTGAATTTTTATTGATAAATGATTAGAGTTTCGTTACAGGGTGTCAACAATAACGAGACTTCCAGATTTTGTTGCGACGAATCAGATGAGGGCAGCCACTCAGTTCGCTCACAAGCAGGTGACTTGTTCCTAGCGATGGCGATAATTGTCCTCCACCGCCCATAGCCTTATTCCGAGCCTGCGTGGTTTGCTTACTGACACACAGGCCGTGAAACACGCTTTGTCAGACCTGCAAAGGATGTGTGAGGAGGAGCAAAACAGATCCCCCCAGTGGAGCTGCCATGCCAAGAAGGAATGCGGGGGCGGATATGGCTCAGCCGGCTGGCTGGCGCTTCTTCAAGTAGTTTCTACGCCGCGAAGGAATCCCAAAAGAATTTCGGAGAGGCATTTTTTTTCTTCTCAAAAGTTAGCGTACAAAAGGGATCTCACCTCGCGTCTGTTAGTAAGCATGGCATCATCAAGACGATACACCCAGTTTGAATATGGAAGATTCGCCCAAAAAAAAGCTGCACGTGACGTGCCACTCACACTTCAGGAGCCCCCTGGAACGGTAGAACGACGCTGGAACGGCTTCCGAAGCAAAACTCTGTTTCGGAGTCTGCAGCCCGGGTCTCGTTACTAGAACCGCACACAGGAAACACAAAAGGGTTCGCCCGTTCAGAGAAGTTATACAAAGCACGCTCGGCCTGGAGTTTGAGCTTCGGTTCGGACGATGATTGAGGGAATCTCGTGAGGATCCGTGCGTGCACCACCCCTCTCCGAACAAAGTCCGTCTGACACAGCTGCTCTCAGGCCTAAGCTCGTCCTTGGAGCAGAGGCACAAGCACATGTCAGCCCTGCTTCCGTCGGCCCTTGTCCAGGCCGCCGCTGCGTAGACTATCTCACAGTGGCATACAAGTTGAGTCTCGTTTCCCTCCACTTCCCCTTGCTAGATGCGTGTGACGTTACCGCGGGATTAATTCCAGACCGTGCCGACGCCTCAATGCCGCCGCCTAAGCCAATTACGATGGAGCCGCGAGCATCATGGCTTGCACTCTCCGCCACGATTTGGCTTTCTGCATTCGTCTCTTGCCATGCGCAACCGCCCGTGATTAACGCTACTCAAGGTGCCTCCCTCTCTCCTTCGCACAATGCTAATAGCGATCAGTGTCGCTTCTCGACATCTCTCGTACCTCGTTCCTGTCGAGCACGTAATAACAATCAGCCGGTTGCACTGCCACAATGCAACTGACTACTATAAGTAGTGCTTATCCTCTTTTCAGTTACGTGACGGCACGAGCGCCACGTGTTCATGCGATGCCATCTAATACGTCTGTTCTTAGGTTTGGTTTCCATCATACCTTATTTTGGGACGAAGTGATGCTGTAGAGTCACTTCCACTGTCCCCAATCCAGCGGCCCTTGTATGTGGTTCGCCGAGGAATCCCTGAAAAATCGACGATGAAACCCTAAGGACTCATCCCCTGAAGCGGATCGATTTGCTGGAAAATCGGTTTTGCGCGCTGGGTGTAGCACTGCAGCGTCGCAATCAACAAGGTAACTGCTTTTCGCCAATGTTCTTGAATGTACAGTAAAAATGTGCCCGCGATCCTTCTACCTACGCGGGTCCCGATCGATACAGCGAAGTGAAGTATCGATCTTGAAATTGGATGGCGCGGTGTTGAATATCGCGCCACGAGTGACAGTCACGATCGATCGTCTTCCCTTGTCGTCGCATAGTTGCTGAGCAACTTAGCGTACAGGGGGTTTGCCTGTGAGATTTTGTGCGCGACCACAGCTGTTGTCGCAGATTGGGTGTACCACAAAACCAGATCCTGCCTTACCAAACCCGTTGGTGGCAGAACCTCGGCCGAGCCACTTCACGTGATGCGTCCTAAACAGTGCTTGCGATGTATCTGCAACCTAACCCTAAACAATCCCACCCATACCTCGGCAATGCTTATAGTACACCTGTTCTTTGATATCTTCACTACTCTTAATTTCACACCGCGCTTCGGTGTCACTTCGGGGTCCTCAGCCCAACTTTGTTGGGAGACGACTGCCATTTCGCAATGGCTGGAAAAATTTCCTGAGATCGTCGTGCACTTTTTGTCCATGTCAGCAGCAGACTTTGCGGCTCGAGTGTGAAATTAAGCGGGACTTTATTCCTCCGTCTATTTTCATGCCCTCTCAGGCAAGCGACTCGGGAATGTCACCCCGTGAAGATATTGGAGAACAGGTGTAATGCTCAAATTTTGTTCCCCACATCACCAAAATGTTGCTGACCTAAACCTGGCCCGTACCCTGACCCCATTGTGGCCCAAAACTAAGAGCGTGGTACACCCAAGCAAAGATCGCTGCATTTTGAGGATCTCGTCGGCGATCCTTGCAAACAGTGTCCCACCTACTACAGTACAGTGATCACTGTGTCAGGTGGTGTACCAACAGAGGTGGGATCAGGAACATGCGTAGTCAATGCTACACAATCTCTGTGATGTCCGTAGGATCATCGTGACTGCCAATCTCTTGGTGATCTTTGCAACTCTGTACCAAAGACAGGGTGATCCTTGTTGACTAAAAACATTCCTTTCGCAATCAGGTCGCACATCTGAAAGGAAGTCGCATCAAATCAAAACATTTCGAAAATGAAAATCTCACCAATGAGGTTGTTTCGTCTCAGTATATTACACGGCCAGCATATGCACGCGAAGTATCAACGTTCGTGACTCGTTGCGATGTCGCCCGGTCGCAGAGGATCACCAATGCAAAATTGGAGTGGTACATCAACGAGGGTCGTTATGTGCCCACAAAATTTGTTGTTTTGCTACCAATGATCCTACGATTGGGGTACGGTGATCTCAGCTAAGTGATCCTTGATAATGCGTCAGGTGTACCCCGCTCTAACTTTATCAGTAACACCAAAGACTTGAGGTTCAGAAGTTATAGGTCAGTAAGTTTTCTAATTCCAAAGTGACCTGAACCACAACTGACACAAAACTGCCCCGGATGTGACTATGCTTGTATAGAGATTAGGGGATGTAGGTTCGATACCTGTTGTTGGCGGTTCTGTCTCTTTTTTCCTTCTGAATCTGACTTTCGCGGATGCTCGCTGGGTGCATTATAACGAGCACAAAAAAGGCAGGAAAACAACAACAGGAAAAAAGACCTCTTTGAAGCAATCAAGGCTCTAGTGAGAGTCAATTGCCAATGCCCTTACCTCTGGTTTAACATGCGGCACATCAACCACTATGCTAAACATGTTCAAATGGATTGAGCAAAGTGAGTTTCACACATTTTGTGAGCGAGTTTTTGAGCGTTCCTCGGTAACCACAGCAGGCACGGGTAGCAGCAGCGTTTCCTTGCAAGCTGACTGCCCCTGACGTAGCTCAGGTTGCAAGTACATCCATAACCTTGTGCCTCGTTCTCTCTCGTTCTCCTCTCCTCTCCTGTCCCCGACCACCAGCGGCGTTTCTCGAGGACTGCCAGAAGGCATGGGGAAAGACGCTTCCAGGCTGGGAGAGGGTGGTGACGACGGTCCAAATCTGGGTCGTGGGTGCTGACTGTTTCCTCACCCTAGGACTCTTCTATGCCTCTGTCTCTCTCTCTCTCCCCTCCTGCCCCCAACTGCCAGCGGCGTTTCTTGAGGACTGCCAGAAGGCATGGGGAAAGACGCTCCTTGGCTGGGCCAGGGGTGCAACTTGTGGCACGATTGAAGGAGTCACCTGTGACTCTTCAGGCATGATTACCTCGATGTAAGCGTGCAATTACTTTGGACCTCACAATCTGCTTGTGTCTGCATACTTGCTTTTGATTGATGCCGGCTGCCTGCAGCAGAATTTGTGCCAAATATTCCCCGTTGTTGTGTCCGTCGGTATATACTCACCGGGTCAAAACGAGGTATGCATCTGGGGCGGAGTGGAGGCACTCAACCCTCACGTGTAAGCCTCACAGGCATTACACTCGTCCCCATTTGGTGCCAACATCCTCGTTGGTTCAAAACTTCAGAGAGTCGGCCCTCGCAAGGTCCTCAGCTTCGCTGTGCACTACGTCAACTTCACTGGTGAGCAGGCCATTGGAGAACCTTCAGCTGGGTTACCACGTTCAAGTTCTCGCTACTAGTGGGAAAATGTGACCAGCCAAGAATTGAAACCCTAGGCTCTAATACCAGTATAACGCCTTGCTACTGGGTCAAAACGAGGGGTAAATTGAGGCATAGCGGAGGCACTCAACATTTACATGTAGGCCCCACACGCGTTACAGCCCGTCTTCATCCAGTTTCCTTTCAACCCACACTCGTAACTCTTCCCTTCTTTCAACCCACCCACCCACCCCACCTCACATAGAGATTTGACAAGTACAACTCTTGATGGGTCTATCCCTAATAGCATTTCCTCGCTCACTTCATTGAAAACACTGTAAGAACCTTGCAGTGAAACGGTGAGGGTGTTTTTGTTTTCTTTTTTTTTGGTGTGTGTGTGTGTGTGTGTGTGTGTGTGTGTGTGTGTGTGTGTGTGTCTTGTTTTTGTTTTTTTTGTGCCCATTCTTTCATGCCTTCTTTCAGTGCTAGTAGATTCTCAGCATTGAAAGGTATCCCATGAAGGAAGCCTATAGCGATATGGCTAGAGGGTGAATGGCCATTCCAATAAATGACGACAAGAGAAGTGCAACACAAAAAACGTGTGGTTCATAAGGAAAAGGATAAACGTGATATGCTTCATTGCCTTTAACATTTTTTTTCCCCAAAATAGCAAGGAAGCTCTGCTGTTACCACCCAACCCTCCTCCTTCTGCTGCTGGTGAACTAGGCATTCCCTTAAACCCCTAAACCCTTCTACAGTAGTTCGATAAATTAACCCGCGGGCTGAACCCGCCTATGACCGTGGACTTGGCCGCGGAGTCTGAATTTCTGCCAATGTTTATGGTATAACAGTGCCATGGAGGCTTCTAAGGGCCAGCGCTGGTAAACCTATTGTCGACTACCCAAAACTAACATAGACTATGGAAAATCGTCTGCACCAACATATGTAAATAGTGTGTAAGGTAGCAATGCTGCAGGTGCTTCTAGACTAGGCTATTGGGGATGTGTTAGCTAAAAACGAGCTAAAAATTGAGCTCAGCTAGTGTTCAGTGACGACCTAAAAAAGTGTCGGAGAGGGATCTTTTTGACGAACACATTTCTGTTCGTCGGAGAGGCTAGATGAAAACGAACATTGTTCGGTTCTTCGCGGCTCGGCTAGCCGCGACGAACCGAGCACGAACATCCACAAACATTTTTTTTGCAAAACAAAATCACCTGTCCGGCTCGTCTCAAACGAACCAAACAGGTGTTCGCCCGTTTGCTCAGGCGTAACTCCATGTCCACGGCATTAACATCGCCTTCTTCACTGTTTTATACAACCCCTTCCCCAGAGCCATGTCTAATTGTGGGCTCAAAGGGTCTATTCCAGCTGAAATTCTAAGCCTCGTTTCATTAAAGATCTTGTAAGCAGTGTGAGATATGCTGGTGTCGCAATTGTGGATTTACAGGGAGAGAGTGTGTTGCATCTGTATGAAAAGTGTTCAGAGCACTGACTGTATCCGTCCATCGTTGCTGTGTCCTTCATGCTCTTTTCGCCCAAGTTTCAAAGCCTGCGTGCATCAGCCCTCGGATCGGACCAGTTAAACACTGTAGTATCAACATCTCTAATCATTGTGCTCACACCTTCCATCTATCCAATCACTACAATATGCATAGTCATGGAGTTGCCACTCCCGAATTTCCTGTGTGTGGGACTAAACGCTCGTTCAGTTTTCTCTTGTATCCATGTCGTAAATGTTCCTCATAAGATCAAGAAAGTGATCAACAAAGTCATGGTCATGCCCTTTCTCCATTGAGATGAGTTGTCAATGAGTTGGGCAGTCTTTATGTCCGGTTTCCATCCCCTGTGGCCAGTAATGTGACAAATAATCAGCTCGCCGGACCCATTCCAGCCGCAATTGGAAAGCTCACCAATCTGAACGAACTGTAAGCTGCTTCAAGTTGGTGGTTGCTAGGAAAGAGCTGTTTTTTTTTTTTTTTTTTTTTTTTTTTTTTTTTTTTAAATTGTCTCTGCCTTTGCCATTGTTTTACTGAGCAAGCAAGAAAACCTTTTGCATATCCCACCTTCCACTGCCCTTCTTGTGTGTTGGAGGGAGTACCGGTGCTAGGGCATTTCCTACACCCCCAACCCATTGATGATGGTTTGGTGCTCACAAGCTTCAGGATGGTGAGGTGGTGCTTGTTGTCTTCAGGTGATACCTCAGTACGGTGCCACCTGCCAATTTACCCAATGATGGTGAAATTGAGCAATGATGGTGAAATTTACCGAATTGTCAAGACATCAATCTAACCTTCAACCTCAATGAGTACAGTGAAATGGTGAAGGGTTGCCTTTAATTTCACAGCACGGGGTTTTTTTGTGCGGCTGACATGACACACATTGTTGCAAATCGACGTAAACATGTGTCGGTTTTTTTTTTTTTTTTTTTTTTTTTTTTTTTTTTTTTTTAATGTGTGTGTGTGTGTGTGTGTGTGTGTGTGTGTGAGTGTGTGTGTTTGTATTTTTTATGTTTTTTTTTTTTTTTACGTGCCATATTATTTCTGAACGTGTTCGAAGCAAACCGAACAGGTGTTCGCCAGTTTGCTCAGGTCTACTTGGTCCGATTGAACTAAACCGGCGTTTGTTTTTCTGACCTGATCATGTCTACCGGCTAGAGCTGCGTCAAATTGCAGTTTGCGTCCCATCTCCCATTGTGTCGTGTGTGCGTGCTTGACCTTTCTCCAGCCATGCCCACTTTTCTCATCTCTTCACTCCCTATGACTCACCCCTCTCCACGCAGATCTGTCAGAAAGAACGCATTGAATGGCTCCATTCCTGACAGCATCGTGTTTCTCAGCGGACTAAATTTTTTGTAAGGATTTCACACATTAAATTTTGCAAAGGTTGTATGATATTACCACAATTTACATGGATTTTCCTACAATTCTTTCATTAGCAACAAAATCCAAGATACTAAACTACATCAAACTCTAGACAGTCATGACCATGTGCTTGAGTCGAGTCGAGTCAGCCCTTACCTGAGATGAGTCAGGGCCGAGTAGAAAAATCGACTCAGCCCGACTCGTGACTCGGAAAAACAGTGCGAGCTGGGTCTGACTCGTGGCAAGTAAGGAGAACCGCGAGTCGGAAGTGACTCAAAATCCGTTTCGAAGAACTTCATGTACGATTGTGATTTAATTTGTGATCTCTATGTTGTCTAGAACATGCCCGGCTGGTAAATACTGGCTAGAAATATGAGAGATATGTCGCGAGAAAGATGAGAGATTTGTCCCAACTAAACGAAATCGCCAGATCTGTCGAATGGATTTTAGAGTCATTGGAAAACGTTGCCGGATTGAAACTTGTCCCCACCCATTTTGTTTTCGCAAATGTTGAAGCAGAAACTCATCATTCGCCAATTTCGCGTGTTCGACATTTTTTGGAAATTGTTGGCTGGTTCTTTACGCAACGGAATCGGTGCTGCTTGTTACGCACACACATCTTGTGATTGAAAAGAAGCTCAGGAGGGGAACCCCGGATGCAGGACGCATGCGAAGACGCAGGACTCTTCGCCGAAATTCTTTTGGGCAGCCCGGAAAGAAAAATTTGACCCACGAAATTGACATTCGTGAATTCGACGGGAATGTCAATATTGACATCATACCCCAATGGGTGTGTTGTTGCCAAGCAAAATCTCAAACAAATGGGAGCGATTTTGCTATTTCACCAAGCAAAATCGCTACTAAACCATATTTCCACCAGCCAACGCACATTACCGCATTGCATCCCCTACCCGAACCTGAGAATGAAATAGAATCAGGTCAACATTTAGAGTTTTCTTTCCTAGTCGACCCAATAATCTTTTCACAAACCTTAAATCTAGGTTTAACTATGTTTGTGGGATCCTGATGTAAATCTAAGTAATTATGGATTAATGTGGTTGCAATGTCCAGAAACCACCTCTCCCCCCCACTTAGACGGTTTTTTTACCTGCCGATGGGTTTTATTTACTTGCCCGGGTCAACGTCACCTGAGCGTCTAATACAAGGCCGGGTGCGCGTCTTGTGTACAGGAGTGGTTCTAATACATCTCTGTCGTGAGCTAGTAAGGTGCAGAAATGTTATTTCAACCATTGTAGAAGTAGTTGGGTTACCCAGAGAGTGACGCAAAGTTGTTGACTAGGAGAACTGTGGAGCGCTTAATTGAAGAAGTCAAGGGACCTTGAAGATGGGGTAATCTGGAGGACCAACCTAGTACTGCACGGCTCAACTCCAAAGGTGAGACACAGAATTGGTGGCGGCTCGGAAAGAGAGGTCAAATAGTCAGCCAGAACATCTAGTCATTTGTTCTCTCGTTTGTTCACTGACGACAGTGGATTTAAGTTAGCAATGTAAGCTACGACAGCTATGTGACTAAGCCACTCGGAGTAGCCAGAATGTGGGCGCCTGGATCCCTCCCAAACGAGAGAAAGACCGCCACGAGTTGTGGTGGCAGCGAACGTACACACGGCGTGAATCTGCGCTGCCGCAACGAATTCTCTCACAGGAGCGCGGGAGGTCGCCTGCACATTCGCCAAGGACGGCGGTGTACCGCGCGGATCCGTACACCTGTCGGCGGACGTCGCGAAGGAGGTGAGCTCGATCCGCATGCAAGGACGGAGCCCAGGCCTCACCCGTCCTGCAGCGATCCTTGGAAACTGGCAGGCAGCCAGCAAGGATCGGGTGGAAGGCGTCGGGATGTTGCTGACGAGCTGAACTTTCCGAAGTCACCAAGCGAGGCTGACAGTGAGGAAGAAGATGAAGATACCCCAACTGCGCGGGGTGGGGAAAAGCAAGCTGAAGACGCGGATGATGAAGTTCTGCAGTGCCAACACGGAGAAGAGCTTGAGGAGCCTGATGAAGGGGCGGAAATGGATCATGTGTCTGATAATATGCAAGGGGAGGCGGCAAGGCGGAGTGGAGGCGCAAGAGCTCCTCGATCGCCAAATGGACGTCCTGACGGAGGCAAGCGGAGTCATGCACCAGCGGGGGCGTATCGCTCACCGGAAACCACGACAGGAACCTGAGAGGAGGAGGCGTATGGTGATGGGAACTTGGCGACCGCCAGAGCCGTGGGATGACGAAGAGGAGGATCGATGGGAGCTGCTGGGGAATACTGCTGCCTGGTCAGACGAAGGGAGACATTAGGACAACATGGACCCACGATCGGGTAGGAAGGGCCCGTGGGGAGATAGGAAGGACAGGAGAGTAGCAAGAGAAAGCGAGTGACTGGCTAAGGACGGACGTGCGACAGGTCTTGCTGTTAGTGTTAGCCTTCAATCTCAATAATTGTACTTTTTATATCATAGCATAGTGTAGTTTCCACTTTGGGTTGGGCTGGATGTACACACCCACATCCCAACCCAACCCAAATGTGATCATATGCAATCCCCAACCCACCAATTGAAGATTGCAGCCGATCTCCCTATGATTGCCTCCAATTCCCTCTCCATCCATTCCCAGCTCATTTCCGATGTAATTAAAGAGCCTTGCGCTATCACTTCAAGCTCAGTTCTAACACTTGATACACGCCTAGGAGATGTAGATGATGATATTTAGACGATGCATTGGACTTGGCTTTGAATAACATGTTAAGCTGTAGCGCTTAGGGGGGGAAATGGACGGCAAAGGGTTAAAAGATACGTTAGTTAGGTGCGAGTACACAGAAAATGAGCTGGCTGGGGTGAAGGCGCAATTAAACCTCGGCCATGTTCAGTTTAGGACAGACGACCACATGAGGTTGGGAAGGTGTGGAAGAAGAGAGTTTTGTCAGTACAGAGGGTGGGACAAGAGAGGGCAGGCTGGAGGCAGAGGGAGACTAAGAGATGGACGGACAACAAAAAAATGTAGGGAGACTAAAATCACATGAACCCCCAAAAATAAATCCATAGCCGCATAACCTAAATGTCACACGCAAGCAAGAAAACCAGGACTTTTGGGGAATGAATTGTGTATGGCAACGTGGCAGTCAAGCCAGGCTGAATACCCCACAACTCCTCTTGCTGACCGTTTCCCTCCACGGCCCAGGTTTGATGAGAACCACAAACTTAAACCGAACTCATGAACTTCTAAAGCTGAACATGAACTCATTCACCTCAAACCAAACTGCAATTCACCTCAAACCAAACTGCGACTCACCTTTTACTCATGCCTGCCTCTCTCCATGCTCGTCTCATCCCCCAGTCGGGTCAACAAGTGTGTGCTTGCTGTCCCTCCATCCATCCATGCCCTTTTTTCTCATCCATGCCCACTATTCTTATGTCCATGCCCCTTATGTCTCCTCACTTCTTCCGCCCCAACGCACACGACGCACACACAGGTCTCTTTCACACAACAACTTCACGGGCTCCATTCCTAACCAGATCTCCAAGATTTCTTTTGTCGATTATCTGTATGAAGCACCTCGTTCAAGCCTGGCGATAATCACGAACATGACCAAAGTCTCATAGCCTAGACAGATGTCACACGCAAGCAAGAAAGTCTCGAAGTCTCATATTAAGGAGTTTTGGGTGATTCGAACATATATGGCCATGCAATTGGCAGCCAAGAGGCTGAATACCCTGCAACCCCTCTTCCCGGCCCAGGTTCGAGGAGAACCACAAACTCGTCGAACCCATGTGTGCGACTTGAACCAGTTCGGCCAATTGGAGTCGGCACGAACTGTTTGCCTCAGACCGAGCTGAAATCGAGTTCTTTTTCGTGCCTGCCACCCACAAAGATCATCTCATCCCCAAATTGGCTTGACCGTTTGTACTTGTTGTCCCTCGGTCTATGCCCACTATTCTCATCTCCTCGGTGGTTGCACCCCAACCCACACCACACACACAGGTCTTTTGCAATGAACCGTTTGACGGGCCCCATCCCCGACAGCATATCCAAGCTTGATCAGCTTTCTTTTCTGTATGAAGCACCTCATATATACCTAATGATGAGCACGGACACGATCAAAGATAACATAGATTCTAAAACTCAAAGTTACGTTATCCCGATGTCACACGCAAGAAAGAAAAACAAGGATAGGGTATTAGGAAAGTGAATGGCTAGGGATGAGCAAGATTAGGGCCGCATGCTAGCTTGGCCCTGCCTGCTTTTAGGCTGGCCGGGCCGGCTCCCTTGGGTAGACGTGAGCGATGACCTTCCATTGCCCGGCTTGTGACGAGCCAGCTCCAACCACTGTCTAAAGTGCAGGCCATTGGCCGGTTTGCCACGATGCAGGACTATGGCTAGGTCGGATCGAGGCTTGTCAGATGGGTGACGATCTGGGGAGGCTCATCTTAAGCCTGGCGGTTCGTCATGAGCTAGCTAGGGTGGCGATGGGTTCTGAAGCAGCAGTATACATTTGGCAGGGCGAGTTCCCAAATTTTATAAATGGTACATGGTGGGGCCGAAATCGTGAGGCACACTGTAAGAACCGGAACCCCAGTGTCAAATGTATGCTGCTTCAATGGAATCATGGACAGCCACATCAAATAACCCCTAAATTCTTCTCATCGGTCCCTGGACGGACCTGCATATGTAATGTGGTTGGCGCTGACATGTTGATGGACGGACCTGCCTATCTCAATGTTGATTGAAGTCAGTTACTAGAGTATTATGTTTGCAAAGGAATCACATTCTCACCCCTCAGGAAACACTAAAGGGTTGGGTTTTTGCAACACCAACTTTAACAGACATGAAGCCGCCATACCAAAAGAATTTGTATGGTAAGTAGTAGTTGAGTACCAGCTGGTGGAAATGACGTTTGAAGCTTGCATCACTCTGGTCGTTGACAAGCCCCCCCGGCTCTTTGAGTCTGATCAGCTCGTTTACCACCGGCACACAAGCCAACGGCGGCCACCCAACTTGTGTAAGCTAAGGTCCAAGCGACGCTGTAAGGTCCAACAGAACCAGTTCCTATACCACTATCCGACCCGACCCGGTATCGGGTCACACGCAGGGTAACCGCATCGTGTATAGACCCGACCTGATTTCGGTGAACGAAAGTGCCGACCTGCACAGATCACGGGCGAAAGCGTGGTCTGGTCAAGCTGACCCAAGGTCTGGTCAGGTAAGACCCGGCTATGTATCCCCGGGTCGGGTCAGGGATTCTAAACCTTGCCCCTGCCTGACCCGACCCGATCCGGGACGGAAACGCGCCTGGCCTGGCCAAATTGGGTCGGCTCACGCCTAATTCTCGCCATCCTCCATCCGTCACATTTCTCTGGACCGCAGGCCGACACTCACACTGTGCCGGCCTGACCTGGGCCAACCCATGTTGACCCGTGCTAACCAGGGCTCGACCCGTGCTCATCCCTATCCTAGACCCACGTTCAATGCAATTCGGTGCATTTCAGAGTGTGTTCTTTGAAGCGGTTTGGCCACTCGACTAGAATATGAACTAAACTGCGATTCGGTTATTACTCATGCCCACCTCCCCCCATGCTCGTCTCGTCCCCCAATTGATTCGACCATGTGTGCTTGCTATCCCTCAATCCATGCCCCCTATTCTCATCTCCTCACTTCTTCCGCCCCGACCCACACCACATACACACAGGAGTCTTGCAAGCAACAATTTGACGGGCTCCATTCCCAACGGCATCTCCGAGCTTTCTAAGCTCACTTATTTGTAAGAAGGAGCTCGTCGTGATGAGAAGCACGAACATTAGCAAAGACCTCATCAGCTCTTATATTCTTGGGAATAAATGCATAGCGCATAACCTAGATATTTGACGCATGCAAGAAAGCAAGCGTCAGAAGCTCCGGGTAATCAGATCAACACGTATATGACCTTGCAATTGTCAGCCAAGCCCGGCTGGATACCCCCCACAGCTCCTCTTCCTGCCTTTCCCCCTCCTCCCAGGCCTTGGTTCGACGAGAACGACAAAATTGCGGAACCGGGTGTGCGACTCAAACCAGTACGGCCAATAAAAATTAACATGAACCCGTTTTCCTCAAACCGAACAGCAACTGGTTTTATGTAACCTGGCCCGACCTCGTGTCGGCCCGACTCGAGGTCGGGTCAGGTAAAACCCCGCCCTGTACCCCCCCCCGGGTCAGTCAAATCAGTGTCTTCAACTAGGCATGATCATCCTGCCCCGGCGGGTCGGGTCGACCCGACCCGACCCGGGTTTTGACCCGGGTCGGGTCAGGCATTTTGAAGCGCTGGCCCGGCCGGGTCGGGTCGGGTTTACCCGGTCGGGTCGGGTCAACCCGACACCCGAAACCGAGTCGGGTCGGGTCGGGTCGGGTCGGGTCAGATTTAGACCCGAAGTCGTACCCGACCCGGTTTCGGGTACCGCGCCCTAAGTCGGGTCGATTTGGCCCTAATTTGCACTAAAGCAGATCGCGAAGTCAATGTCTAGGGTTTGTTTGTTCCCTCGACATTGACTTCGATCTGCAATACCTAGGCAGCTAGCAAGCAATCGTTCTCAAGCTCTACTACTCTCTAAACCCGCGCCCATGTTAAGGAACACTATTACTAGTGTTTCCATGTTGGCGTAAGGGTCTTTTTAACCTAGCGCGACCAGGCAGAGATATTCGATTCTATAGAAATAGTTATTCTGAGCTCTCACAAGCGACTAAACTCTAGTCCCGCGTTCTAATCGCCCCCTGCGCGCCTACCAGGCCCGCATCGATAGTGACGCGACCCCCCATAGTCTAGTTACAAAATGGAGGACGTTCATATAATAATATTACACAAATATTCAATCAGTGCAACACCGCACAGTAGTAAGGAGAACCTCTTACCCTGCATATGGGGTCCTGGCCCGACCCGACCCGACCCGGCCCCTACCCGACCCGACCCGGGGGCGGGTCACGCCTGACCCGGCACCCGATACCCGGGTCGGGCCAGGATTTTTTGAAGTTCCGACCCGACCCGACCCGACCCGGAACCCGGCTGGCCCGCCCAAGTCGGGTCGGGTCGGGCCTAATGATCATGCCTATCTTCAACATTCTGGCCCGGGGTTGACTCGATTCGTCCCGACCCGGAAACCTGCTTGGCCCGGCCAAGTCGGGTCGGGCCGACTGCTCATGCCTACTTGACGCTGACGTAAGGTCGAGACTTTAAACGTTGATGTAGGGACGATATTTTTCTAGCAGCCTAAGTGTTTTTTACCTTAGAGAAAGTCCAATACAAAGCACAAACATGTCCTGCCTTAACTACCATAGGGTCCGCTCCACGCATTTCACTACGATATTATATATAAAAAAATGTATGCATGTTTGATGAAGATAACTCATGGTAAAATGAAATCCTTCTCTCCTGCCCAAAACCCATACCTACACTCCCGTTCCCCTCCTCAACAGTCTTAGAACCCCGGGTTTTCTTGCATGTCCAGGCTTTTTTTTACCTGCCCGCTAGAGCAACAAACCGGCGCCAATCTCCCCGGCCAAGGGGTGTCAAAGCGCTTTAGGTCGAGCGTTTTGACATAATGTCAAAATGCTTGACTCCTCAAAGCCATCATACGAGAAAAGCCAACTCTTCCACTCGATATTGAGTTGGTCGGGACTGAGATCGGATGGGGTTCAGTGGTAAACAGGAGGGCTTGTTTCGGCTTCGAAATTCAAAATCAAGGTTGAAATCGTAGACATGAGCACAATGGTGAACGCCTATTCAGATCGTCCAACATGTTTGGGGTGAACATATTCGTGTTCGGTTTGTCCCGCCTAGGAGAGCCACGGCGAACGGCGAACATGTTCGTGGTCGACAACGCTTTCTGACGAAGACATATGTGTTCGCTGGAAAACTCCCGGAACCGTTTTTTTTTTAAATCGACAAGACACACTAGTGGAGCTCATTTTTTTAGCTCGAATTCTGAATGTTTCCCCTCCTCCAGCCTAGACGACAAGCACCAGTACTAAGCATACCTTGTGTAACACGTTGTTTTGTTTGTTGTTTCATTTCCGTCACTCCCAAATGTCCACCAGGTATAACCACCCTGGACGCCAAAATCCACCATCCAGTATTATATCACTATAACGAAGGCTGCTGATATGGCAAACACGAACATGTTTGACCCAAATGTTTGTGTCCGGCCGAACATTAAGTTGTTCGCCGGTTAAAGGCAAACCCGAACACCTCCCTTTCTGGAAGTGTTCGGGATAGAGATGAGCAAATGGCCCGACCCGACCTGGCCGGGCTACACAGGCTCCCGGGTCGGGTCGGGTCAGGCCAGGCTCGGGCCAGGTCCCTGAATGTTCTGGCCCGACCCGGGCCTACACACTCGGGTCAGCTTGGACAGGGTCACAGGTCAGGTCGGGTCAGGCCAGTCTGACCCGCCCTTTAGTGGGAGCAGGGGTGTAAAACGCGATTCCTGCATTGCGAGTTTCCATGAACAGCAGGATACGATAGTAAACTAGTTATAGATGTCAGTCAATGAGGTTTGAACGGGCCCTAACTAAGTTGTTTCTAAACTTAAATGACTTGCTTGCTCCTGTTAGGCAAGATTGAGAGCGTGGGTAGGTTCTGATGTCGAGGGGATAAAAAATCCCTCGATCACAATTTGAACTAGGGTTTCGTGCCCTCTGTGTCGAAATCGGGTCGGGTCAAAAGCCCGACACGATTCCCCTGGTCTTGCAACGAATTCGGGTCGGGTCAAGCTTGACCCGAAACCCGACCCGAGTTCCATGCTCGGGTCGGGTTTTTTCTCGTGTCGGGTCAGGTCGGCCCACACGGGGCAGGCAAATGAAACCACTGCCCCAACTCGGGCTAAACCACGGGTCGGGTCGGGCCGGCAAATGCTCATCTCTAGTTCGGGAAAACACAAACATGTTAAGATTGCCGAACCTGTCTGTGTTTGCCATTTTCTCATGCCTTGCCTAGCAGTGAGGGATGCAAACTTACGACAGGTATGAGTTGCTTACGAGTGCCCCTGGCTCGAATTCCTTCCAGCTTCTTACATCCCTCTCCACCCCCCTCCACCCTCTTTGCTTCTAGTGAATGCCGCTCGTTCTCCTCCGTGCTCCCGACTCAGCACACCCCCGTGGGCCGCCATGCTCGCTATTCTCATCTCTTCATCTACTCCCAACCCATAACACACAATGCACAGAAATTTCTCATCCAATTCCCTCATTGGCCCCATAGTCGTCGACTTTGTTTCCCGTAATCGCATCGCCTATCTGTAAGAATCTCTCTAGACCCATCCGTTAAGTACAAAGCCAACGCTGCACCGTGCTCTCATGTGCCAGGCCTGCACATCGCTCAGCCTGCACCGCGCGCTCATGTGCCAAGCCTGCACTGCGCGCTCATGTGCCAAGCCTGCACTGCGCGCTCATGTGCCAAGCCTGCACTGCACGCTCATGTGCCAAGCCTACACCGCGCGCTCATGTGCCAAGCCTGCACCGCGCTCTCAGATCCATAATATGTGTGTGGCGCTTGAGTTATTTCCCATTCCTGTTGTACCAACCTGTTATTTTCCCAGTGCCGCAACTCAGTCCGCAACACACGCTTGTCACCCCAGTTGCTATTTCAAAGCGGTGCATCTTCTCTATACGTTGCCTCTTGATTTATTTTTCAATGTTGTTGTACCATCCTGCCATCTGTTTTTCTATGATGCCTTCATCTATATTCTGGCCAGATGTTTTCATGCCTTTGGATTGCCGGGCTCCTCCATCTGAATGCATTCATCCATCTAAATGCATTCATCCATCTGAATGCATTCATCCATCTGAATGCATTCATCCATCTGAATGCATTCATCCATCTGAATGCATTCATCCATCTGAATGCATTCATCCATCTGAATGCATTCATCCATCTGAATGCATTCATCCATCTGAATGCATTCATCCATCTGAATGCATTCATCCATCTGAATGCATTCATCCATCTGAATGCATTCATCCATCTGAATCCGTTTGGCTGCACAGATGGGTGCACACTGTCATGTGTATCGGTTGATGCACGCACGGCACTGCGTTCCTCCTCAAAGAGGCTAAAAGGGCTTACAACCATGCTTTCCTCCCCTGTGTCCAGAAATTACGCTGCTAATAACCTGAGTGGGTACATTCCAGCTAGTATTGAACAACAAACTGCATTGGAGTGCTTGTAAGTACGCTTGTTCATGTCCCAAACCCGAAACGAACTTGTAAGCAGTGTGAGATAGGCTGTTCTGATCACATGGTTGGACCAAATAGAACACTCTTGAAAGAGTAGCAGTGCTTTTCTGGTTTTTGCGGTGTGCAGTCAATCTCTCCATGCCCCTCCTAGCTACCATCCCCATGCCTTTCCCTTTTATTTCCACCTTCATAACCAATTAGCCCACCACGATTTTGGTTGAGCTGGGAATAAATGTCTGTGCAGCTGTGCCCATGATTTCCGCCTTATGATCTCCCCTTTCCACCGCAGCGACACCTCTGGCACTTACCTCATGTGCCCACCTGAAACCTCTGCCTGTGGTACACAATCTCCTAACACTTCCTTTTGCGGCATGTGTCAATCCTTCTGCACAGTTTGGGACAGATCAAACTATTGCTCATGGCAAGGCATGAGCAATAAAACGAATTGCGCTTCAAATGGAACCGTTATTTGTGGGCGATTAACTAGCAACAACTAGCCAAGCAGCGCCGAAGCAAACTGATTCAAGTATAGGCAAAAAAACAGAAAGCTGGAGCTCAATTCGAGGGCATAAAACTGATCTGGTTCAGTTCATTACCATGTTCATGCCTAGTCATGCCCAGGGTAAGACGAACAGCCTTAAGAAGAAGAAGAAAAAAACAATTGCAGTAAAAAACGGTAGGGCAAGAAACGACCACTTGAAACAGATCCACGAGGTGTTTTCCGTTTGAAAAAAAGTTCTTATTGAACCAACCAAATCTTGGAGGATGAAGAGAACGAACCCTTTCATGGTGTGCGTTTGTGGGCATGATTGAAAATGTATCTGAACTTGTTTTTCCCTTTTCTTTTTGTGACAAGACTTCTTTAACAAATACCAGCTGTTTGCTTGTTTCCGACTCAATCAGCGTCATCAGAGTTGCTCGTTCGAACCGAACATGTTTGAGTCCGATGTTTGCTTAACCCTAGGTCTAGCCTAGACTTGAGTCCGAGCTGACCTGGCTATTGGGCAAGGACAGGTGACAGGTCTGAACAGGCTGATCTCGGTGTAATAGGTCAGCCTGTTATGCAAGGTCAACTTGATCCGTGTTCCGAAATTTGAGTTTTGAGTTCGTGTAATGACGGGACTGGGATGAAACGTCCTGACTTTGTTACGGGCCTTCGCATGTCACAACGGATCGGGGCGAACCAGTATGACGTTTTTTCCCATGTGACCCACCCGTGTCCATGCAAGACAAGGGCCGAAAGAATGACGGGGGAAGGGGGGAAAAGGTGCAATAGGGCAGATGCGTAAAGTGTTGTATATTTTCTGTATGGGCAATGTGTAGCCAAATCATCAAAATTTAACACCCCCCTCGTTCTACTCACGAGTGATTGACCTTTATACAGAAGCAGTTTGGAAGTTTACTAGAAACCCATTAAAAAAAAAAAAAAAAAAAAAAACAAACAAACAAACAAAAAACAATGAAGGCATTCGAAGCTGCACCCCCAAAGTGGCGGTAGCTGATGTTTAGCGCACCTCCCCAAGGAGGGCAAGCCACCTCGGCTGGGTCCCGGCGGACACATCATTCTGCCAGGAGCGACCTCACTGATTTTCCCATCTTCGAAAATGGGGGAGTTGCGCCACCGAAGAGGTTGAAGCTGAAGTGGAAGGAGGGGCAGAAATCGTTTGCGAAGCAGCTGAAATGGGAGGGCAGATGGAAAGGGCACATCAACTGGAATAGAACCATCGCTATTTGGGATTCGCTAATACACCAAGCAAGCCGAGGGACATTCTGCTACGCATTCATAACGTTAATCTACAAGTGGGGGAGCGGGTGGCCCTTTTTAGCATCAAGCTGGTCTGCCCGCACTGTGGAGGCTGCGAAACCCTCGAACGCTGTTTATACATTTGCTCGAAATTCCAAGTGGTGACCTCGGCTCTCCAGAAAACTCTCCACATGGTGAATGCCTCGCGCGTGGTGTCATCGCTGAGGGACCTGTTGTTCCGGAAGGCGGGGGCCAGCACAGCATTTGCAGAAGCTACGATCACATCCATCACACTGCATCAGCTCTGGCTGGAACGTTGTGATGCGGTCTTCAGGGGCACGAATTCTCGGGCGAGGAAGGTGCTCCGTCGGATTGAAACTGCTTTTCGCTTGCATGCAAGGATCCACAGAGGACGAGTGACGCTCAATGGAGAAAGCGTCAGGGCACGAGGCAGGAGAAGAAATTTCGCCGCACGATGGAAGGAGAGAATAGGTTACTGTTTCGGAACAGGGACACGAACAGCAAGTCATGGACGTGGACAAATGCATTCACCTCTATCTGGCTCTCCCGGGGATAAATCACCCCCTTAGATTCCGCAATTGGGGTGGCCATGTGGCCCCCCTCATGCACAGTCACGACTGCTATTGTTTATGTATGCTTGCTCTGTTCGTTGTACATATCAAATACCCAAAACAAAGGTAAAAGTTTTTATTTTACCCAAATTTGATTACGTTTTTTATTCATTTTACGGTTGTTTTTTATGATACCGTATTTTACGGTCAATATTTACTAGAACAAACAAATACACCTTGATTCCAGGCCCATCTAAGACGCCATTCGATGCACTCCGAAATGTGTTATCTGAATCAATTTGGTCAACCCGAACCGAACTTGAATTGATTCAAGTGCGGTTCGATTTTACTCATGCCTGTCTCCCGCCGTGCTCTCCTCATTTCCCAATTGAGTTGACTTGTGTTCTTGCTGTCCCTCACTCAGTCCATGCCCTCTCATCTCATCTCTTCACTTCTACCCCAACCCACACCACGCACACGCAGGTCTCTTTCAAACAACAATTTGACGGGTCCCATTCCTGATGGCATCTCCATGCTTGCTCAACTCACTTCTCTGTATGAAGCACCCTGTTTAAGCCTGTCGATAAGCACGAACATGACCAACAGTCACATCAAATTTAGAACCTTTCAGACACAATCGACAGCCAATCCAGGCTGAATGTCCTGCATCTCCTTCTCCTGTCCTCCACTCCTAGGCTAGGGATGGGCGAAACTAGTGCCGGATGCTGGTCTTGTCCAGCCTGCATTGTTGGTCGGGCTGGCCTGAGGCTTTCAGGTTGAGCAATGGCCAACCTCTGGCAGTCACAGACCTGAATTCTTGCCAGGTTGGCTTGTGGCTTGTCCGACAGGTGACGAGCCCAGTAGGCTCATCTCGAGCCTAGGGTGGCCATGATTCTAAAAGAGGCTCACGTTGGCCACTTCCATTAACCTTCGAAACCTCCCAATCACTCCCTAGACGGACCTACCTATCCTGTAAAACTTCAGGCTGGTTGGTGGCGCTGAATCAATGGTGATGGATTGCGGTCAAATACCGTGGACATGAAGTAGTTTGTCTGGCTTTGATTGAGAACGCTTCCACAGTTAGAATGTCGTAAACGCGAAGAGCACGGACCGGGACGTCTTCCCTGGGGTACTGACCTGACTCGATCCGACCGGTACCCACTAGGGACGGGCCAACCTGATGCTCTTGTCTGAGTAGAATTCTGACCTGCCGAGAGGGCCAATTTGCATTTTTTTTTTTTTTGGCAAAATGCTTAGCAAAAAACTCACCACTTTATCCTTTTCTTGCAGGTTTTTTTCTGTATTGGAAAAAAGATGCCGTTTTTTCACGCAAATAAAAAATTATTTATGTTTTTTACGGTTGTTTATTATGATGCCATATTTTTGTTACAAACTGTGAGATCTAGAAGGCTCTATGCCCTTCGATTAAATCACAAAAGATGGACTCCACGAGGTCACCTCTGAGGGTCTTTGGGTGCTAGGCAAGCCAGCCCCTACCCAAGGGTCCATGTTTGTAGAGAGTTCCACCAAGTGTAAGTTCGATCGAGAGCACTAGAGTATTCCTACAGTTATTCGCGCAGCGTCACATCGATCGATTGGCTCATGTGCATATTAAACTCTTCACGTCAATACGTTGTAAGAGTAATATTCAGTCACAAAAGATTGTTCACAAACAAACGCAAGCACAAGTTTATATTAAGCGAAAGCTACCAGCCCACCAAAGTGACAACTAAAACCATATTTTGAA